ACTTCATATGACGTCTCACTTCGATATGAGTGGTGTTACGGTGTGCGCAACACATAACCAAGCCACTTGACTTACTTTCCTTTGCTAATACTGTGTGTGGTAATGATTGCACAAACGATCGTTTACTTTTCTCGATATTGGTTTTCGTTTGAATCTTTGAACTTGGCTTCACTCTGTAATTTTCTGTTAGAGAAGGGCATTCTTGAGAAGTTTGTCAACATGGTTTTGAAGCCCTTTACTTTGAAACATTAAGTAGAATGAGTGCGTACAGTTACCTTTCTCTGCTATTCCACACCGACAGTGGGTTTGGGGGAGGGCTGTCCTATTTCACGATCGGCAACATTCTAGAGACAGTGGTGAAGGGATTACGTGATGATGATGGTACTGTAAACCATGTTGCTAAGTGAGACTTTTCTATATAGAGCCAATGGATGATACCGTTTTATTTTGTGATAACATATACGCTATTCTAATCGCACTCAATAAACCAGCAATCAGTGTCCTTACATATGCTATTCACTTCGGGCCGTTATAAATGTAAAGTAGTACTTCTACAATATAGGCATAATTCCCTTACTTGCATCGACCCTCGGTGATTGACTTTTGAATGTAGCCGAAAAATTCGTTTATGTGAGCAGTTGTGTGAGTATTCTTCAGGAGGTTTCCAACTGTATATCATCCACTATAGTGGCATACGCCAATCTCGGTCATGTTTGGCGTTTTCATGACGTTTGACTATCCACGAAAGGTCGGGTAAACAAAGTATGGCTGTGGGAAATTTTGCCTGTGAAACCTGACCTCTTCGAGATGACGATATCCGGTGACTTTGCGTTTTCTATCATCATTGCATCCATAGGATTGGGTATGATGGAGATTGTCTTTCAGTGCGTTTGGTTATCTTGAAAGACAGATTTTGGTGGGTTGAATATATGTTAAACATATCGTCTTTGTAGCTCCCATACCACTCACTTTTCGCCTTCCGTCGTACTGGTTATAAGAAGCGGAAAAGTGTTCAGTGTATGATAATAGCGCTTTGGGATGAAGGGTACTTGGGTTGGGTTGGGATCTGTTGGTACTTCACGACTTCCTGGTTGACCTCCGAGGGATGATGTATTAACCAATAAACAACGGTGAATAACGTCGGTATCAGGCGTAAAATCCTATATCAAGGAGGCAAGTCAATTTATAGAGTTTTAAGTCATCATGGACTTAAGTTACAGGGTCATGTTTGTGCATACCAGGTGCTTGAGAAGCATAAGCTTTCCAGTGAATGCTTCTCAAGCTTCAGGAAATGGTTCAGAGATTAGGCGAAGGGTACTGGCGTGATAGGCAATTCGCCGAATAAGGTTGTAAACTTTTAGTGACTGTGAAGTGTTCTGGACATTTCACCACCTACGTCCACGTGCAATCTTAGGAGAAGTCGAACTAATTTGGAAGAAGGCTTGAGGTGGTCAGACATAGCACCAGTCGATGAGGTGCCTCAGTATTGGCCAGAACCATGTGGGGAGATTTAGACTGCCTGGTTTAACTTCTGGAGATGATAGGAGTTAGTGGTTGAAGATTCTAGGTGAAATGGCTTAAAATCAAAATCTTCTAAAACTTGATTATTTCCAGTAATATTCATTGTTGTATTCTTCCTCTTCCCGTACACCTTTTTCTCCTTTGTTATGAATCTTCTTCTATACAACTGTGGTTTGTATGCTACTGTAAAGTATAGCAGTTTGAGGTGATTCACTTCTGTCTGGGGTGCTACGTTAATGTAGTCTGTTTGTCGTCCAACCATCCGTCAATCTCTCTGTCTATCTATCTATATGTCTATCAAAATTAATCGTGTTGGGGGATGTATTGTTCTTTTTTATCCCTGATATTTCAGACATTTTACTGATAAATTATCCATTTATTCTCCTCATATGTTTTTTTGTTGTTACTTACTTCAATATTATTCTGTGTTCAATTCTTGTTTGTTTGCTGTGGTGTTGTATATGAAGTGGAACAAATTGAAATCATGCATCATAGTGATGTAGAGATCTACGTTGTTCGGTCACCTTATATGGAGAATGTTAAGTACACCTTCGGTCAAGTAGATTATCCAAGATATTAAAGAACATTTTCGAATGTCTTGAATATTGATGCTATTCATAGAATGATTAGGCTAGTAATTATTAGTTGAATATGCATCTGAGTTAGATATATAAATAGTTATCAAGACATAGTGGAGGATATTTGTAGCTCAAGTGGATGGTCTTGGTTGTATTGTGTTCCTTGAGGAGATGCGCTGTTTATTCGTGGAGTTTTCATCGTCTTGCTAGACAGCTACATCATCACCACTAACTTCAGTATGAATTGTGAGATGTCGCGATATCTCTCCATGAGTGATTTAGTAGCTTGCTCTGACGATGTGGTCTGTGATTGGTTGTTTCCTTTGGTTGTTGTATCATTGACTGACTACATAGATTTTCCTGTTGGCTGTTCCTCTGCTTAATCTCTAACCTTTCAGTCGTGTATCACTTTCCTTATGGGTTGATGGATTGGGATCTATGTCTATACATCTACTGACTGACTGACTCACTGACTCAGTGACTGACGTGAATGCCAAGCTTCTAGGAATCCTCTGATAACATCCTTTGTGTTTCCTCTCTCCATTGAAGATTTCTACATTGTCAAAATCAAATTCATTTCCATATTTGTGTTATCCACGTGAATTGAGTGATGAGTGATGAAATGTCTTGTGTGACATTTAATAACCAATTAGTGTTTATGCAGACGAAGGCGAAGGTGGGCGACCAGTTTGTCCAATCCAATGAATGTGGTGTTGACTACAGTTATTGCAGGTGATGTAAATGATTTTCGGAATTGGAATTTGTGTGGCTGATAAACCAACGAATCCCTTCCAAACCGTATTATGCAGACCAAAAGACGCAGCAATCAAAGAAGGCAAACCGAATATCATTTATAAAATCAACTGGAATAACTGTAGTGAACACCATATTCATTGGATTGGACAAACTGGTCGCCCACCTTCGCCTTCGTCTGCATAAACACCAATTGACTATTAAACGTCTCACAAGACATTTCATCACTCATCACTCAATTCACGTGGATAACACAAATATGGAAATGAATTTGATTTTGACAATGTAGAAATCTTCAATGGAGAGAGGAAACACAAAGGATGTTATCAGAGGATTCCTAGAAGCTTGGCATTCACGTCAGTCACTGAGTCAGTGAGTCAGTCAGTCAGTAGATGTATAGACATAGATCCCAATCCATCAACCCATAAGGAAAGTGATACACGACTGAAAGGTTAGAGATTAAGCAGAGGAACAGCCAACAGGAAAATCTATGTAGTCAGTCAATGATACAACAACCAAAGGAAACAACCAATCACAGACCACATCGTCAGAGCAAGCTATTAAATCACTCATGGAGAAATGTTGTGATATCTCACAATTCATACTGAAGTTAGTGGTGATGATGTCGCTGTCTAGTAAGACGTTGAAAACTCCACGAATAAACAACCCATCTCTTGAGAGTTGACAATACAATGAAGTTGTCAAGACAACTTGTACATTATTCTCGCTCCTATACATTTTAAAATTACAGGAAACTCCGTGATAGATCTATAGTACGCAGATGTTTCAGTTCTGTCAGATGAAGACGCTGACAAGATGCAGAGTATTCTGGACACCTTAATTGGCATCTTGAGAATGTTTGGAATCGTTTCGCGCTACGCAAATGTGAATAGCTGCTCCCAGGACTGCTGTTCAGTAGTCCCTTGGCTAATAAATAATAGGGAGGGAAGTGATTGAGAGTGTTGAACACTTCGAACACCTGGGAAGTTTGATCAGACCTTGTGCATAGGTCAGTGGTCGACTAAATCTCGACTTGCCTTCAGCAGCTTACGGTATCCTTGGCGCTGTCGTGATATGCTATTGTGTTGCGATTCGCTATGTTCTAACACAGCACTGTGAAACATGACATTAGAAGCAGTGGATAAAGGAAGGCTTATGGTGTTTACCTTTGTAGCATAGGTCGTGTTTTGTTGTGTCACCATATGAATAACGCAGAAGTTGGGTGTAGAGTTTTAGGCAGGGGAGATAAGTGTCAGTTGATGCTGTTGTGAATCTTTATCGACTGAGATGTGTTATACAGGCCAAGTCACTGTTCTCCCAGCTACGCAATGTTAGCTGAAGTAGGTTTAGGTTTTTAAAAAAACTGGGGGAGTGGGGGGTGCGGGGGGGTGGGACTAAAACCTGGCACCATTGCTCGAAGTCTTTGACTGTTGGTTTGAGTCATGTAGGCAGATGTCAACTAACCGGTTGAAGTCCGTGTACTAACAGATACCAGTTTAAGCGATATGGCTCAGATTTATCTACGCCTCATCTCTTCATTTTAATCAGTATGCCGAATGTCAGTATTTTCGCATTCCTTCTTTCTTTCTTCTACTGACTTCTACCAACTTTAGCTATTTTCTTCTTCGTTTCAGTACATTTTAGCTTGATGTGTTGAGATGAGATGTGGCAACTTGGCCCCTTATTCGTATCGATGTTGATCTTAGAATTAGCTTAAGGTTCGCATTAATAATACTTTGAATAAACTATTTATCGGTACACTTGTAATTCTCCGTTGTATTACTGGATCGAATTGTTCCACCTCTGCTGGTATATGGTAATTTATTTGGTTGTAGCTAGCAGAGGAATCCAAGACATGCGTTTCGTCCCTTTTCGGACTCGTCGGCTGGATGTACCTATACCCCAGTACGCAGTGATCTTGTTCCCACTGAGACTCGAACTTCGTACCCATCGCTTCAAACGCCAAGGTATTATCCACTATTTCTTCGTTGAGATTTATGTCATTTTTTTCTAGTTACTGTATTCCTCTTCTTTTTTTTTCTTCCTCAAGAAAAAGAGAGTAATTTCCATGTTATTAATACATTTAGTTTATTTATCATTATTATTATGATTATTTTTTTGGTTGATGAACGTTTTTTCTTCTTTTAGACGGTCGTTTCAGTATGATTAATGTTACCAAACATCCAGAGTTACACATTAGATCAGTTACAGAAAGTGAATTGACTTCAATGGAAGTAAGATGTGTACTTCAATCAATAGTTGATGAGTCTGTAACTGTTGAACGACCTGAACGTGGCCGACTTCAACGATTACAATTTCGATTCTCTTATGCTGAACTTCGAGGAGTTGGTAGTGAAATAAATATTTTACGTGTAAGTTTTTTTTTTTCTTGTCAAAAATAAACAAACAAACGATTATTTCAAGTTGTTATTCATCGTAGACTGACTGACATCAATTGGAGGAACAAAGGAAACCTGGGAGCACTGGACAGCCAGCTGTTTCGTCCGACTAGTATGGGACTCCTCAGCAGTGCGCACCCACGACCCCACCAGCAGGGATCGAACCCTCGACCTTCAGGATTCTGACCCAGTGGCTCAATGGTAACGTGCTGGTCACAGGACCTGAAGGTCACGGGTCCGATCCGTGGTAGTGTGGGGTCATGGGTGCGCACTGCTGAGGAGTCCCATACTAGTCCGACGAAACAGCTGGCTGTCCAGTGCTCCCAGGTTTCCTTTGTTCCTCCAACTGATGTCAGTCTACGATGAATAACAACTTGAAATAATTCCAACTCCCCACAACTCCCTCAAAATTTAATTAAACGGTTATTTGTTTTCACGTAGACTATAATAATAATAATAATAACAAAATGTGTATGATTTATCACAGTTACTAGTTATGTCATCATGTTTTATTTTAATTTCTTTATAGGGTACAACTGTTGAATTACCATGGGCTGTAGAAGGTGAAGGACGTACACAAGTGGACTGGTATTATCTAAATGATGCTAGTCGTATACGACAAGCAATTGTTTTAGATTCATCAACATCATCAAATACAGGCGGAAATAATCCTTCAGATTCTAATCGACGACGAACTAATGAACTACCCTGGGGTACTAAATATGAATTAGTTGATGGTGCTTATGGAAATCTACGTTTAATTAATTTATCAGTTACGGATTCTGGGCATTATATAGCTGAATCAGCTCATCTAGGCCGTTCACTTAGAATTAAATACACTATACGAGTTCAAGGTAGGTTTTTTTTTTTTGAGATTTTTACTGATTCAGATTGACTCCTTTCAAGGTGGTATTCATCACAGACTGACATTCGTTTTCGGTAGTTATTTAACTGGATTATCACTACATGGTGAATATCACCTTTGAAAGCAAAATGTTTTGTTTATATGTATTGATTGGTCATGGGAGTGCAACCAATGTCATGTTGTCTAGTCCTGAGTGAAGACCGAATTCTATCGATCATATTTGCAATGTGGCAACCAAGCTAGGAAGCTCAGTATTGTGGTGCACATTAGTAAATATTAGTTGGTTGGAAGCAATCGGCAGGAAAGCTTTGGACTAAGGTTTCGTGCTTTTTGGCACTCGTCAGCAAGGCATATCTGCAACCTGGATGGAACTGATGTCCCGCCTGAGATTCAAACCCATGTCACCCAGTGTTGTAGTCAGAAACTTTACCACTGAGCTATTCGGGCCGCGATTGACCTCCTATAGGACTGGCTTACATGTATTGACTGGTCACGGGTGTGCAACCAATTTCACGAAACTGTGGTCCAGGGCTTTGCTGCCAATTGCCTCCAACCAACTAACATTTGTTTATATGCTTCCATTTATATATTTACACTAAATGTGAAGAATATTACAGCTTTCTGTTACCTATCAGGACAGTTACTCAACGACGGCAGCGGATGGAGGTCGCGCGATATCGTGAGCTGACAGAAGTACGAGGTGTGGATAAATGGATGACGACCCAGTGGTACAGTGGTAACATATTGATTACGGGACCTGAAGATCCTTAGTGCACACTGCTGAGGAGCCCAGTAGTAGAGCGAAACAATTTTCCGCTACCCCAGGTTTTCGGCGGTTCTACAACTGATGTCAGTCGATGCTGGATACCAACCTGAAACCAATAAAAGAATCCCTATAAACCTCGAAATTGGATTTTAGTTTCCTTTGCAATTTTTTGTAATTATTAATCATTAGATTTGCCTTCAGTTCCTAGTGCAATATAGAGCTTCAGTAGCACGTAGCCATTTCACTCTCTTCTCACCAGTCCTCTCAACCTGGCTCCACCACTACCCACAACCTTTCATTTCTAACTCACAGCATCTCCTCCATCTCACCCTCGAACACCCAACTCGTCGTTTCCCACTTCACTTTCACTCAACAACTTGGCCTGGCCTGATGCGTGATGTCCCAAAACTGTCTTCTCAGTCTATGTCCAATCCAATCCATCTCCACTTTCTTCCAGTGCATATTTGTTGGACGATAGGTTGTTGATGCGTTACTTCGTTGTCAGGCCACAGTTCCTTCTCGCTTATTATTTACCACCATCTGATCTTCAGTATCGAGTGAGTGTAAGCGGCAGCTGTTCATGTATGTCTAAAGTTTGTTCGAAATGCTTTTCGTAGCGCATCAAGTCTCTGAATGAACCATATAGAAGTAGTGACGTGACTGGAATAATGTTGAAAATCTGGATCTTGTTCACACTTTATGCTGAGTGCAGTGTAGTGCAGTCCAGTCCAGTAGATCTCCACACTGATTATTTCAGATTAATGCAGGAAGGTCTGTTTTGTTGTCTTTCCGATCGTGGCTTTCACATCCTCATCTGTGCCGCTGCTGCCGCCGCCTGTAGTTGAAACGATGCTGCCTAGGTAGGTGGGTAGGTGAAAGAGATAACCTCGTTTAGATTTCTCCTGTTGATGGTGACTGGTGCTTGTTGGTGTTTTTCGCTGGTTGGGTGTGTATCTTCACCACCTCCTTCCTCTCTATGTTCACCTAAAGGAAGTCTCGTCTTCTCTGCCTGGCCCTGATTCTTCTGCCAAATTTTTAGTTCTCGCTTGTACATCTTCGAGTTTGTGCGACATTAGACATTAGAAATAAATCATGATGGGTGAAATCCAAATGTTGTAGGGTCTTTTCATCAGTCAAACAGCCAACATATGCCCATCTTCTCACAGCTCCTCACAGTTTTCTTGCATCATCCACTCCACTCCAGTTCAATCCAGTTGAGTTGACCACAGTGAGGAAGATGATCGGTGATAGTAGGGAGCAACCATGTCTTACCTGTCAACCTGTCTTCACTTCAAAGACATCATTGACCTTTCCATTGTGAATCACTTCGCATGTAGTATCATCATCATCATGTAGCATAAAGCTGCTGCTGAATGAGGTTGATTAAGGCTTGTGGCACTTGGACCAGCTGCCGAATTACTTGTCATTCGATGCCTCAATCTAAGTCCTTTTAAAAGTTGATGAAGTTGAGGTACGGGTAGAATTGACTGGCATTCTATGCTCTGTTCTATGATGATGCGTAACGTAGCATTGTAATTTGTTCCACACATGATTTGTTTATCCTGAAGCCAGCCAGTTCTGGTGGTAATTTTGAATGCAGAGTATTTTTAAGTCTCTCCGGGATGATATGACTTAATATTTTGCTTGGAGTGGACATATGTGGAGCATGATTCCGTGCCAATTCTTGCCAAGACTTAGGTCATCCGTTTTTGGGAGTTTGACAAGGTAGCCCTTCTTTCAATCAGTCGCAGGTACCTTTCCTTCCTTCTACTGAACGGGTTATAATATATCGTAATTTGAACAAGTCAGTATCGCTGGTGGTATGGTTTTCTCTTAAGGTTTGACATTTTGTCGTTGAGATTGTATCACTAAGCTTGATAATATTCTCAGTACTAACTTCAAACAACAAGTAATACCCGTTGCACAAGTGGTGGCTCGCGTGCCTCAGTGGATTACGCACTCGGTACGAGTATCAGCATAGAACAACAGCATTCACTGTGGGATGCAGGTACATCCAGCTGACGAGTCCGAAATAGGGCGAAACACATCGTGGATTCCACTACTACTCACGAACATGGATAAAACTTGAAAAGGAAATCACAAAGCTTGATGATGATACGTTTATAATAAAACACCGAACTACTAATCTCCTGATCCTGAGGAGCTGAAAAAAATCTGATATGAGTAGTTATAGGGCTACGCACGCTGTTAATTGGTGCTGGCTTGGTATATTGAGATGAAATCCTATGATTTATGTCTTCTTTCACTATATTTGTGTGATTCGTTCTCATTGCAGCTTGCGTAGTTGCAGATATCTGATTTCAATCAAGGTTTCATCACTCCGTTTCGGTAGTTAACCAGAATACTGTTAGTTTGAATAATTGGATCGTATGATCCGCCGAATTAAGCCAACTGCATTGTCTGCTGGTTTGATCATTGTGCCGTTGATCGTTCTAAGTAGTCGAAAACTATTCACATCAGTAGGTAGTATGTTTCACACAGTTGTTATATGAACCTTTTTTCTCCCTTTTTTTAAAATATGAGTCCAGTTGTTGTACAAATAAATGTTAACTGATAGAAACAGGGTATGCATAATAATAATAATAATAACTGTAATATAATATGTTATGCCAAATTTTACTTTAATTTCATTATTTAGCACCTTTAGGTGTAAAGATCACACCTAGTCGTCGAACTGTGGACTGGGGTAGTCGAGTTGAACTGACCTGTGAAGTGACTGGACATCCACGTCAGTTAGTTTATTGGTTGCACAATTCTCGATTAGTTCCACGACGTCATCATGTACGCCATATACCTACATCAATGAATTCAGGCTATTCTGGAATAGATAATAGTATTAACAGTGGTCCATTGAATTCAATTGCAGAACGATTAATTATTGAAGCTTTCAGTCTTGATGATATTGGTGTTTATCAGTGTATCGCTGAAAATGGTCATCCTGCGGACAGATTAAGTTTAGGCATGAATACACATCAGTCATCTGACTCATTTTTTGTTTATCATAGCAATACACTGACATCATCAACTTTGGGTTCAGTAAATAATTCATCTTTTTCACCAATAGCAACTCCAACAACACCACTGGCACCACCACCATCGCCAACAACAACAACAACAAGGCAACAGATTAACAATAATCATTTATCTGAGAATGAATTAACTAGTCAGACAAATTCATTTTCAAGTCTTGAAAGTGTCGGTGATCTTATCGACAATGCTCAAGCAACAGCACTTTTAATGATGGGTAAAATGCGTCCCTCATTGACCTGGCAAAATCCTGCTGTTGAATTAGGTTCATTTGCTGCACAAGTTCTCTTATCTTTACATATGGGTTCAACAGATGCTTTATTAGAGTGTAGATTTGCTGCTAATCCAACTCCACAGATTGTATGGTATAGAGATGATCAACCAATTATTATGGATGAATCTGGTGTTTTATCTGCTCAAGTAATGTCTGATGATGGTACAGCTTGTACAACAATTACGCGTTTAACAATCAATATTCGTAAGGTAAGTTCTGTTGACTGATGATTGTAGTTTATTAGTTTACAAGTTGATATTCATCATGGAACTGACATCAGTTGAAGGAAGCACTGCACAGCTACTGTTTCGTCCCAGTAGTATGGGACTCCTCTGTAGTACGCACTTATGACCTCGCCGCATCAGGGCTCGAATCCGAGACCTTCAGCTTCTATGGGCAGCACGTTACCATCGATCTAGTTCTCATTGATGAATTGTTTAGACAGGGTGATTCCTAAAGTTCCAATGAGAAGTTGTGACCGGTGCGGCAAACCTGGTGGCCGTGAGGACAAATAATCGGGAGAGATTTCAAAAGTAATTCGTTGTTTGATACTTTTATTCTCCTATTGCTATATTGAGTTGAATCGTTCGACCTCTGTTAGGAGATCGACTTCTATATAGATGCCTCGATGCTTCCCGATTACTGATTACGTTGCTATCTGTTTGGATGGATAGCAGTGGGCTCCAGCTTGATGAGCGTTTCGTCCTGCTTTGGACTCGTCAGTTGGATGTACCTGCCTCCCAGTGACAGATGTTGTCCACACACAAACTCTAATCATAGAACTGATGCATTCAAACGCAAGAGCGTGATAAACTACACCACTGGGGCATGAGAACCACCATTTGTGTAATGGGTATCAGACGTTTTTTTTACTGATGCTTGTAATCTGTTACTGTTCAGAGTCGAGCTGCAACTGATGAACCTCAAATGGGACGAAACGCGCATTCTGTATCCCACTGCTAGCCACTGAGCAGACAACAACAAATAAATATCCATTACATTGAAAAATTATCACTGATAAAATTGAGCAGTTCATTGTTTCTCCGTCGGTCTAATCTTACTTATTCTTCCAAGAAGTAAGAATAACCTATCTAGAAGTTCTGAGATGCCATAAATTCAAAGTTGTCAGTTTTCTATTTATCATTCTGTAATATCTGCAAACTGTACGTAAAGAAAAGTACTGGTTAGTATGATGGATGACGTACAATGCTATGGAAGTTGGATTCAACCTGGAAGAGGGTTCAGAGTGGTCAAATCGAGATGTGGCACCAGTCTATTAAGTACCTGACTCTTGATTTGAGCCATATAAAGGGTTGTAGACTGCCTGGATGGGGTCCTCAAGACAATTGAGCACACTTGGTGACATGGTTGGAAATTGGTCATAATGGCACAGATGTGTATTTTCACTCTTTAACATCTTCTAAAGCTTGAATATTTACACTAACCTTCATCTCCGGATTGTTTATTCTCTCACACAACTTTGACTACGTTGTTAGTATCACTCTTTTTCGATGCACCTTTTCTTTGTTTATGACCGCGAAGTGTGGCAAATTGAGATGATGCACTTGTGTGCAAGGTTCTACGTTGATTTTATGTCAGTCAGTCAGTCAGTCAGTCAAATACACTAGCTAGCAGGCAACTAGAAAACTCCAAATTCGCCTAAATTCATGAGTTGGTCACAGTGTATCTGGCGGTCAGAGACACATTGTTTTCACATTGTATTCTGTGATATTAATCCTGGGAATGGAGCGGAACAGAATGCACTCAGTTATTATCTTATGCTTACGCGTGTAGCAGGCTATTAGCAACTTGTATTATATAAGTGCAAGTGGTACTACCTGGTTGCCCAAACCTTGGTAAGTGGAGGAGGGCTCAGACCCGTGACCCAATGGTTCAAAGTTATCTTCCCAAACTAATGATCCACTGTCTCACCATTCCGATGAAGCAACATTACTTAGGTCATTTCCTGTAGCGTAGGTGTATACACGTCTTAATCCATCCTAGTTATTCTCTATTGTATGTATCATCCCATCAGACTTTAGCTGTTTACCAGTTAACTGTATTTACAGGTAGTATTCATCGTGGACTGACATCAGTTGGGGAACCATTAAAAAATCTGGGAGCACTGGACAGCTGTTTCGTCCTAGTATGGGACTCCTCAGCAGTATTCACCCATGAAACGTACACCATGAAACCTGAAGGTCCTGAGTTCGATCCCTAGCCGAGTCATGGGTGTATACTACTAAGGAGTCCCATACTAGGACGAAACAGCTGTCCAGTGCTTCCAGATTTTCAATGGTTCACCCAACTAATGTCAGTCCATGATGAATACTACTTCTAAATTTAAAAAATCCCTATTCATCTCAAAAATACATTAACTGTATTCGTTATGATTTTATCCCTTCCATGTCTGAATACTTCTGTTGTACTCTACAATGATTTGGATCGGTTTTCAATTCATTTTGTTCCTCGTTCTGATTGGGTGTTGTTTGTTTAATTATGTTACTTATTCACCTTGTTCCAAGGAACTGTGAGCACATATTTATAGATGTGAGAGTTAGAAATAGTGGAGAATATTTGTAGCTCAGATGAATGATCTTGATTGTATTGTGTTCTCTGTGTTGTGTGCTTTAATCGTAAAGATTTCGTCAGCAGTAACTTTACAATGAAGTGAACAGTCTCTGACTGTTGGTTTAAGCCATGTAAGACGATGCAGACTAGGTGGTCGGGGTCCACGGGACAAGAGGAACCAGTGGTTGGAGATCCTAGGTGATATGGCTCAGAACCGAAGTCAGTGGCGCAGATGTATACACACATTATCCTCATCTTAACAACGCTATACCGAATCTCACCATTTTGTCACACCTCTTTCCTTTCTTCTCGTACTTTATATTTCTTTTGACTGCATTCACTTATCTTCATCCTTCACCTCACTACCTTTTTACTTGATGTACTGATATGAGGTGTGGCAACTCGGACCGTTACGCAGTAATGCCTGGTCCTATGTTGATAATGATGATGATGACTATAAAGTGAGCTATCACCACTTCTACGTAGCTGGCTGTGACGAAATGGTTTGTAGTTTATTGTTTCCTCTAGTTAATGTGTCACTGACTAACTACATATATTCTCTGTTGGTTGCTCCTTTTCCTCCTGACCTCTAACCTTTCTGTCCTTTTTTCATTTTTCTTATTGGTTGATCGATTGAGTCTGTGTCTATACATCTATTGATTGCTAATTGACTTGAATGTCAAGCTTCTAGGAATTCTCTAATATTCTTTGTATCTTGTCTGTTCAAGATCTCAACATTTTCAAAGTTGAATTCATATTCATAGTTACTCACCTTCATTGAAATCAGCAATGAAATGTTGTGACATTTATGACTAACTGATGTTGACGTAAATGAAGGCGAGATAGATAGATAGATAGCTGTAGTTTAGTGTTGAAGTACTAAGAATTCATCCAGTGAATATTTGTAGTCTTCAGTAGCTGCAGCTACGTAGAACTGGGTGGATGTACTCCACTGTTTATCATCCTGCTAAGTGTTCTTGTATCATCCAGTCTGCTAATGTCACACTTAGTGGATTTTGTAATAGACTTCACTCGAAGTCCTGTCTTCCTTCGCTGCCCTACCTCTCCTGTCAACTTGTTAGTTTTTGCCTGTACATCTTCAAGTTTGTGAGATAAGATATTAGACACAAGTCATCACTGGCGAAATCCAAATGTTCTAGACTCTTTTACCTGGTCCAGACAACGTATTCCCCTCCTCTCACCCTTCACATTTGTCTGCTGCATGATCCAGTCCACCACTATCAGGAATGTCATGGGTGATAGAAGACGACAGCCTTGTTTCACTCCTATCTTCACTTCAAAAGCATGACTGAGCTGAGCTTCCCATTGTGAATTACTTGGGATATGGCATCTTCATATAGCTGCTGTTGAATGAGGTTGATAAAGGTTTGTGGCACTCCATAGTGTTGAAGCAACTGCCAAATTACTTGTTGGTCGACGCTGTCGAAGATGTTTTCAAAGTGGATGAAGTTGAGGTAGAGGGTTGACTACCATTTTATACTCTGTCCTATGAATGCTTAGCATTTTTTTATACATTTACAATGCTAAAATGTAGTAGTTATCCTGTAAGTTACTGGCTGATTATCAACCTCTGATTGACCGGTTTAGTGTTCCTTCACCTATTGTGACTTTGACCGCCAGTTATTAGCATAAGCCGCTACTTTACGCAATAAACATTGCCTAGTGCATTTCCAACAGACTACAGACATACGCCAACAGGTGCCGCCTGCGCTCACTCCACACTGAAGATCAGATGAGAAGACCAGAAACAATAAGCAACAAGGAACTCTGACTGGCAACGAACAATCCAACCAACAACCTATCATCCAACAGATATGCAGGAGAAGAAAATGGAGATGGATTGGATATAGACTGAGAAGATGGTTTGGGGACATCACGCGTCAGGCCAAGCCAGGTCATCGAGTGGAAATGAAATGGGAACCGATGAGTTAGATGTTCAACGGTGACATAGAGGAGATCGTGTGAGTTAGAAATGAAAGCTTAAGGGCAGTTGTGAGACCATGTTCAGAAGACTAGAGAGAAGAGAGTGAAATGTCTACGTGTTACTGAGTCCCTATGTTTCACCAGGAACCCAAAGGACAAATAATGATAATGATAATACATAGTGTGTGAAACTGTTCCTAGTTGATTATTCAAGAGCACATAATCACATACATACACTTCATAGTAGCATATACCTATAATATATTCTTCTTTCTTTTTTAGTTGCAAATTTGGATGATATGTGGACATTTGGCGGTGAGTATCGTGCAGCAGCTGAAAACTCTTATGGTCAGGCAGATTGTCGAACATACGTTCTCATGGATACACCACTTCGTCTTCGACCAATCGACATTGGGAAACCAGCTATAGCTGGTCGTGCGTATACACTAAAATGTTACTTTATTGGTAGTGGAATACCTACAGTAAGCTATTTGTATGTGGATGTGTAGTGTTTTGTGGATAAATTATCTCTCTTGCTACGTAATCTGTGTTAACTTAATTGGTGTTATTGCTTGTATTACAACGTCTTTGATTGGACCGAATTGGTCAGTTTCTGTTGGCATATGGACTCCTGTGCGGATGCCTCGATATTGCCTGTGTTTTAATTATGTATACTATCGATGGGCAGTGGCTAGCAGTGGAATCCACGATGCGCATTTCGTCCTATTTGGGACTCTTCATCTGGATGTACCCGTCTCCCAGAGAGTGTTGTTCCTACCGGGACTCGAACTCGGGAGCAATCGCTTCAAACGCGAGAGCGCCATCCACTACACCACCGAGCCAAGATAGCTACTCCTTGTGCGACGGGTAGTTTCAGTGTTACTGCTTATATTACACCATCGTTGATTCAACCGAATTAATCAGTCTCTATTGGCATATGGGCTCCTATGTGGATGCCTCGATATTGCCTGTGTTTAAATTATGTATAGTAATGATGGGTAGTGGCTAACAGTGAAATCCAGGATGTGATCGCTCCCGAGTCCGAGTCCCGGTGGGAACAACATCACTCACTGGGAGGCGGGTACATCCAGCTGACCAGTGAGTCCTAAATAGGACGAAATGCGCATCCTGGATTCCACTGCTAGCCTCTGCCCATCGTTACTATATACTGTCTACCTATTTTTATGATATGAGGGTAATGATCTCTCCATTGAGGAGTCTCAACTTAGGACGAAAGAACTGTCAAGTGCTTCAAGGCTTTTAAGTACTTCTACATCTGAAGAATGACAACTTTGAAATCATTTAATTAATCCTCAGAAACTTCCAGGTCTCAGGATGACCTTTCTAAAGTTCTAGTGATGAATGGTGACCTGTGTCTGTTAAGGTAAATCGAATATAAGGACATTCCGTAGGGGAAGGAGTTTAAACCATTGGATTTCAATTGAATGGTTAAGTGGATAACGTAGTTACTAACAGAAGTGACAGTTGTGAGTTCGATCTCTAGTGGGAATTTGAAGTTAGTACGAAACAATTATATAGTGCCGTCAGGTTCTACTGTCAAAGTCAATCCTTTACAAAGTCCAAGTAACTATTTGACAATATATATCCACTGTATACTTATAATCTGACATAAATTTCTTCTTCCCTTCTTTTCAACTGAACTATTCTGAAAACAGCTTCAATGGCATCGTATAAAAAATGGTCGTGATGTTCGTCGTATACCAGTTGATCATCGTCATCAATTATTAGAGAATGGTCGTGTACTACGTATAACTGAGGTTAATCAAGAAGAAGATGAAGCTGATTACCGGTGTACAGCTACTTTAGGCGATATGACATCGAATATGACTGTATCACTTAAAGTCTCCCGTAAGTGAAATGATTAACTAACCGACTTAACGATTGACAGATTGATTGCGTTTTTTATAATTTCATTGTTTTCCTGATTATATATAAATAAGTTGACTAATTATCCCGTGTATATATTCGCCTTGTACATAGCACAAATGTCAGTTGCCAAGTAGCTTCGATAACCTGCGTACATGATCTGAGAAATATATATTCCTTTCAATTAATCCTTCGACAACAGAAATAACGAGGAAGGCGAGGAGGTTGACAAGATTAAAAGCGTTGGTAGATGAGAAATACAATGGTTGAGTATATCCACTTGATAAACAGATAGATAGATGTAAAGAAGGTGAAGAATGAGACATGGGTCATAATGAAGGTGATAACAATAAACCAACTAATCATAATGAAATCAAAAAATCAGTTGTGAAAGTGTTAAGACTATGCATTGTAAGATAAGAGATTGAACATACTTCTGTTCTACCCAGAGATCAGGTTTGAATTGATTAGTTGTAGATTAGCTGCAGATCAACTTCTCTTGTCAACAACTGGCTCCCGATTGTGTTAAGGATAAGTTGCCACTTTAGACCGCTTCATTGTATGTCTAAAAAATTTAGTTTCTTTTATGGAGCTAGGTATATAGGCTGCAGAAAGTGCACACTTTCCAAACGTATCTCTAAACACTGTCGTGTATGGTTGTCGAAGGGAGAATGTAAGTTGATCAACAGTTCAATTCATGAACATTTTGTCAACTGTGGACATATAACTAGCTCCATCAGAGTCCTCTTTCAGTGTCACTTATCGAGTTCAATGCAATAGTTGAGAAAGAGTACACCTTCGGCAGTTGTGCAACATCTCAGAAGCCTACAGATAATTTACCAGTTCAAGCTTGATCTCTGTGTGGAGCAGAAGTATGTCCAATCTCTTATCATCTTACCATGGTCTTAACACTCACATTTTTCGACTTCCTTCCAATTAGTTTTTCGTCAGTGGCTCCACAATATATTTATTAATATAGAGTTGTCGAAATATAGAATGACAACATACCAGTCTAATATTGGTAATTGTTTCATAGTAGGTTATCAAGGTCACACTATCAAGACGGTGAGAGAGAGAGAGAGAAGTATTAATGTGGTACGGGATCGCTTCTCTTAGGGGTCATTAAATTCCTCAATGGGTGCCGGTATGTCCAGCAGATAGATGGGTGTGGAAAAGAAAGAAACTTAGGTTCACGGCCTTGTCTAACCACCATCTCACATCAATCTCACTGTACTGCACTGATGACTCTGTTTGTGAAATGGACCCTGTTGTAATATGATCCATCGGATTTGATTAGTATTTAGAGGTGGAGGCGATGAGATTGGCTACACACCAGTTGATTAGATGTAGACTTTTTCCCTAGCATTGGTTATCTAGATTGTTTAACTTGTCTGTATTCTATCGCTTGTTACACAAAACTGAACATATCAGTACTGAATTCTATCAGTTGTATAACTGGTTGGCATAGAATGGGAGAAGAAACGGTCCATTTGACTTCATTTGGTTAGAGTTGTTGTTCTTGTTATTGCCTTACATTTGGATAGGGTTGGCTAAGAGTGATATTATTGATTGATGGTGACTAACATTGGAACCCAGGACATGCATTTCGTCCTTTTTAGGACTCTTCATCTGAATGTGCCTGCCCATCAGTGAATGATATTCTTCTTACCAAGAATTGAACTCTGGACTCTAGTCGATTCGAACGCTTTAGCGTTATCCAGATACGTTCAGGCAACGAATGAATCTTAAACAGGAGGAAACATGCGTCATGGTTTCTACCATTGGTCACCAAGTAGACGGTTGATATGTAGTGAATGTCTGCCCGGTATCACGGCATCTGCGTAGGAGCCCATTTATCAACACAGGTCGAACAAATCGATCCGGTATAATAGCAAGAGGAAACTACAAGTACCGATGGGGGTAGACTGGATCAAGCAAGAAACCGTGAGGAACAAGAAGATGGGAATACGCTGTTTCCCCGGTGAAAAGACCATAGAAGATGTGGATTTCTTCCATGATGATTTATGTCTAATGTCTTATGTCGCACAAAATTGAAGATCTACGGGCAAAAACTAACAAGTTGACAGAAGTGGCAGCGAAGACAGAACTTCAGGTGAAAGTAGAGAAGACAGAGGTGATGAAGATACCCAACCAACAACAACAGCAACAACGGCAAGCACTAATCACCATGAACGGGAGAAATCTAAACGAAGTTATCGCTTTCACCTACCTACATTTACCTAGGCAGCATTGTTTCAACTACAGGTGGTGGTGGTGGCGGCGGTGGCACAGATGAGGATGTGAAAACCAGGATCGGAAAGACAACAAGACAGGTTTCGATTAGTCTGTGGAGATCAGTGTGTAGATCTACTGGGTCGCACTGTACTGCAGTCAGCATAAAGAAAAAAAGATCTGGATTTTGAACACTTGTGTGATTCAATTGAGTCAGTGCTTCTATGTGATGGTGTACAGAAAGCATTTTGAACAAACTGCAGACATGTATGAAGAGCTGCCTACGCTCCTACGCCGCCTAAGCTCCATAGTGACAGATGAGATGGCCAGAATAATAGGGATAAGTAATGCGAAACTGTGGCTTGGCAATGAACCAACCAACTAAGAAGCTATTGCTCAACAAATAAGCAGGGGAAGAAAGTGGAGATGGATTGTATTGGATATAGACTGAGAAGAGGGTTTGGAGACATCATGCACCAGGCCAGTCCGTTGAGTGGAAAACGACGAGTTAGGTGTTCGAAGGTGACATCGAGGAGGTGCTGTGAGCAAGAAATGAAAGCTTCTGGACAGTGGTGGAGGTTGGTTTGGAAGACTGGAGAGAAGCGAATGAAATGTCGACATGCTACTGAAGCTCTATGTTACACTAGGAACCCAAGGGACAAATAATAATAATAATAAGTGGAAAGTAGTTGAAAGTTAGTGTTTGTTGGCTCCTGAATGTTGTTATTATACAATACGGCATTCTTGAAACTATCATCTAATGAGTACAATTGCATAACTGTACATCGTATCAACGAAACTGAGTTACTCTTATACATTGACATATAAGTTATTGATGAATATGCTCTCGTAAATTAGGCAATAATTTTAAAAACAATGAAAATTCTTTTCATTTTCGACGGTTACGCTATATCTTTAGCTAACAGAAGTTGGAAATATGGACGATTGGATTGTGACCCAGTGGCTAGCTCAATGGTAACGTGCTGGTCACGGGACCTGAAGGTCACCGGTTCGATCCGTGGTAGTGTGGGGTCGTGGGTGCGCACTGCTGAGGAGGAGTCCCATACTAATCGGACTAAACAGCTGGCTGTCCAGTGCTCCCAGGTCTCCTTTGTTCTTCCAACTGATGTCAGTCAGTCTACGATGAATAACAACTTGAAATATTTTCAAATCCCCACAACTTCCTCAAAATTCAATTGAACTGGTGCTCATTGGTAACTGCCTTCGATAGGTATTCCCGAAGTTCCAATGAGAAGTCGTGACCGGTGAGGGCAAAGCCCGATGGTCATGAGGACAGGTACCCAACGATGATGTTGGGTGGTGGTTGCGCCATATCTTGAGCTAACAGAAGTTGGAAATATGGACGATTGGATTGTGACCCAGTGGCTAGCTCAATGGTAACGTGCTGGTCACGGGACCAGAAGGTCGTGGGTGCGCACTGCTGAGGAGTCCCATACTAGGACGAAACAACCAGCTATCCATTGCTCCCAGGTTTCCTTTGTTCCTCCAACTGATGTCAGTCTACGATAAGTAACAACTTGAGAAACAGAAGTGTATTGTACTCGTAAAATGTTGAAATCTTGAAGAAGTCTTTCTCTTTTCATCATTTGAATGTTGTTTAATGCTGAGAGAATATCGTCCGTTTAAGTAATTCAGAAGATTTAATTGCTAACCACACACTGTCTAATCACTGGAGAATAGTCAATGTTATTCTATTTGGTGTTCAGCACTGACAGAACTTTATCGATTGAGATATTAGTGTGCTCACAAGTTTGAACATATTATATGGTTGAAGGCATTCAGCGAGGAACTGCTTCTTGACCTAGATTTCTTGTTTGTTTGCATTATTCAGTAAATCATATATCTAATAAGGCAGATAGAGAGAGATAGACAAAACTAATGTAGAACCTAGCACACAAGTTTATCGATTCAATGTGAAATACTTCGCAGTTGGATCAAAAGATTATTTTGTTATTATTATTTGTCCCTTGGGTTCCTAGTGGAACATAGGGCTTCAGTAGCACGTCTCCATTCCACTCTCTTCTCTGCGATCTTTCGAACCTGGCTCCACCACTGCCCAGATGCTCTCATTTACTCCTCATATGATCTCTTCCATATCACCCTCAACTCGGACGCCCAACTCGTCGCTCCCCATCTGGGTTCCACTTGAGTGCCTGGCTTGACGCATGATGTCCCCAGTCGGCCTTCTCACTGCATGCCCAATCCATCTCCACTTCTTTCCACTGCATATTCGTTGAGCCATAGGTTGTTGGTTGGTTCTTTGCCAATCCAGAGTTCTTTGTCGGTTATTCTTTCTGGCCATCTGATTTGATCTTCAGCAACCAGCCAGCGTAGACAGTTGTTGATGAATGTCTGTATAGATCAAAAGAGCTAGTGGATAGAGAAAGGCTCATATCAAACTAGACAAAGGTGTGTATAGGCGAAGAGGAAACTGAAAAATGGAGGTTAGTCAAAGTATCCTAGGAGTGAATACATCTGCGCAATTGTGACCGTTTTCCAACCCCTTATTCCTATCGTATTGGGGACCGCATTCATATGGTCTAGGTCTCTGTACACGGCCTAGGCTAAGAGTCAGAGAGACTTCATTGACTGGTGCCTTCAACCATTCAGTATCAAATGTCCTAGCCTACTTAATTGTTTAGTTGAATCTAGTTAGCAGCTAGTTGTAGACAATATAAAATCGGCTATTTTCTAATGCTTCATTGTATCTATTCCAATCCTAATTGAGGGCTGTTCCAAGCAAAATACCTGGAGAATGACTCTTTTGACTACAGCACTGGATGATACGAGTTTGTATCTGTCAGGAGAAATCAATCCACTGAAGGTTGCATCTAGACTTTGCTGACTGAATCTTGATGGAATGCGACAATCTCTTTGTTCTATCGACTGATTCATCTAGGAGTGGATGTACGTGGATTTTTGAATAGACAGACAAGATTGATTGCTTGATGAGACTGTCTGAGATAGTAGCGGTTAAATTGACTCATATTTACCCTATACGAGTCAGGTGAAATCAAGAACTAATCGTAACAGATGCCTCTCTTAGTTCTGTCTGTCGATAGGGTATCGAATCGGTGACCTCACGAACCATCGGTTCGAATTCTACTGTAATCTGGACTCTCGCTTCACCTTCAATCATCATAGGATATAGCTAGCTGTTGTGGTACATTACCCATATCTGAAGTGGTGTGATGTGAAATGATTTACAGCATAAATTAAACATTTTCTTTTACTGTCTTTCTTCTAGATGCTCCTCGTCTATTTGAACTACCACAGACAAGACAAGTTAAAGATGGTCGTGATATGTTATCGTATAGTTGTGCATTACAAAATAGAGCTGATAAACCTTGGTATGCTTGGTGGGAATTTCAACGTGAAGGCACCAATGCAATTGTCCCATTGCCACCGTTCAAAAAGAATGCATATGATGGTTTTTCAGTTTCTGTAAGTTAGTTCTTCTATATACTATATGTAATTACTATATTATTATTATTATTATCTCGTCGTTGATTGACTTAGACTTATCTGTCTCTATTAGCATTATTGGCGCCTGTGCTCAGATGCCTCGATACTACCAGTACTTTCACTTCGATAGTAATGAGGGATAAATGCTGGGATTAGAATCTAGGACGCGCTTTTTGTTCTATCCGAACTCATCAGCTGGATGTATCTGCCTTCAAGCGAACGATATTATTCCCACTGAGGCTCAAAGTCAGTATCCATCACTTCAAACACGGGAGTGTTATCCACGTGTCATAATATCCACTTTTTGTGCGATGGATATAACTTTTATGTTGTTGCTTGTTGTATTCTCCAGCGCTGACGGATAATACAAGCAAAAGCATTAAAAATATATCCGTCACACAAGAAGTCGCTATCGTGATTCGATGGTCTAATGGATAACTATCTGGCATTTAAAGCGGTCACTCTCGAGTTCGAGTCTTTAAGGGGAAATATTACTCACTAGAGATCAAATAATCGATAATGGATGATGATGATGGTAGTGGTTCGTTGTTCTTTGAGTTTGAGTCAGTGAGTAAGTGGGTGGGTGGGTCTGTGAGTGATTTAGTGAAAACATATTAACTGACTCGAGAGACTGTAGGTTAGGGGAGAGGCTTCTCATACTATTGCGCACAGAATTCGGTTAGGGGACTGCACCTTCACGTATTACAGAATACCTTTCCACTTAAACTTAATACTAAATTTTTAATTCTGTTAAATATTATTATTTATTTATTATCTTCATGCATTTTATCAACTTGTCTTATATATTTATTTATATAGTATGTTGTATCTGAGAATGAAGCAACTCCCTGGCGTCTACCAGATAGTCTACGTGAACGTGTTCCATCCTTTGTGCATACAGAGCCTAATTCAGCAGTTCATGTTAGTGTAAATGAATTACGCAAAGATCAACATCATGGAAATTTAACGTGTGTTGTAGTCAATGAAGTTGGCACAGATAGACAGTCAATACGTGTAACTTTTATACGTGAGTTTTATGTATAATAAAAATTATAATTATTATTATTTATACTAGGTGAAAATTTGGATGTGAGCGGATTCGAATCAGTGACCACCGAGTTTCCGGCTTGATGCTCTTCCAACTGAGCTGTGAGGTTTGACTGCTGACCAGAATTTTGTTTCACTTCAGTCACCAAGGGTTACTTTGCCCGACTACCACTTCACTTACCTAGGAAGTGGGATCAACTCTGTTGGGTTAGTTAGTTGCCGATGAAATCTCTGCACGGATACAAAAAGCTTGATTGGCTTTCACCACGCCACCTATGGCGCCGTCGTGATTTCCGTTTGTTTACTAAGGGTCGAGTGTACTGCACAGCAGTCCAGTCTGTTCTGCTGTATGGCTGTGAAACATGGCGATTGAAAGTGGAAGATATGAGGATGCTTCAAGTGTTTGACCATCGTTGCCTTCGTAGTGTAGGGCGTATTCCGTGGTGTCACCAGGTGAGTAATACAGAAGTCAGGAGTAGAGTTTTAGGGAGAAGAGGTAAGTCGGTTGACGAGGTTATGAAACTTCATCGACTGAGATGGATAGTTGGGGGACATGCGTTGTGTGTATGCCTAGTCATCGATTGCCTCGTCACCTAATGTTGGCTGAAGTAGGTCGAGACTGGAAAAAGGGTGCAGGTGGCCAGACTAAAACATGGTACGAATGTATGAAGTGTTTGACTGTTGGTTTGAGCCATGTGAGGCGATGCAGACTGTGTGGTTGGGGTGGTGTCCGTGGGACAAGAGGAACCAGTGGTTGGAGGCTGTAGGTGATCACGTGGTTGAGAACCGAAGTTAGTGGTGCAGATGTATCCCCACACACATTATCCTCATCTTAATGATGCCATATCGAATCTCACCATTTTGTCACTCCTCTTTCTTTCTTCTCGTACTTTATATTTCCTTTGACTGTCTTCTCTTATCTTCATCCTTCACCTCACTACCTTTCTATTAGATGCATTGATATGGGGTGTGGTGGTAACTGGGACCGTTATGCAGTAATGCCTGATCCTATGTTGATGTTGATTGATTGCCCGACTACCACCATGCGAATTTATGATGCGTTGCTACCGCTTGGTTGTATTCACACTGGTCGCCTAGTCAGGACTTCTTATCTCAATCCCAATCTGACTGAATTAAAGAGGAGGAGCATCATATTGATTGCTATTTTGACTATCTGAGATAGCTGGCCGCTATACAAAATTTCATTTAATCTTCCGTCATCACCTAGTATCAATACCAGTCTGCCAAACCACGTCTGATATCTCAGATGATATGTTGGTCCCCTTCTCTAATTCAATTGGATTTAAATTGGGATGAGAAGTCCTGACTAGGCAGCCAGTTTGATTAAGCGGTAATTAACACATCACGAACTCACATAGTAGTCGGGCAAAACCCTTGGTAATTGAAGTGAAATAAAAAATTATCCCGCAGTCGGACGTTGTAGGTGAGTTGGTAGAGCATCGGATAGGAAACCCCGTGGTTGCTGGTTCGAATCCGGTCGCGGTCCCAATTTTCATTCCACCTTCAATCATCACCTGGTATCAATATCAGTCTTACATAGTCAAAATGATAATTGTTATTATTCGTTTCAGTTGTTTGCTTTTTATTGTTGTACGCTTGAATGTCTGCGAGAAATGTCTCTGTCTTTACAACAAAATAACAAAGCACTTCCAATGTTTTTCGTGTATACGTAAAGACCTAAAGTCATTATTGTTATTATTATTATTATTATTATTATTATTATTATTATTGTGATCATTATGATCATTGTGTTGACCTTGTTATAGTAAGCTGAGAACTCTAGGTCACGACGAAGATGATCAGATAAATTTTCTCTACACTTTACTATCGGTCGATATTTTCATCGAGTAGTAAGTTCTTATTGTGAGATAATAGTCTATATTCCTCATTGATATGTACAGTAACACTTGGCGAGTAGCAAATGCTTGACCTTAGATATTCACATGGATTACATGATTATGTGGATAGTGGTACTGACACCTGAAATTGTTGAGCTGAGTTCTTGTTGACCAGTGATGCTGTGAACGTAAGAATTGCTGTTGAAATAAGCCTGAAATAAATAATAAATAAAACAAAATAAAAATAAATAAACCAGCGAAACATCGATAATCCGATGGGTCAAACATGTGTCGGGTAATTGTAATGCAAACATTAAATATTGAGTGACTTTGTTGCCACTTTAGTATGAAAAATGAATAGCCTACTGGATCATGTAATAAACAGTGAGGAGCTAGAAGAGGGGGATACGCTGGCTGGACCGGGTAAAAGATCCTAGAAGATTTGGATTTCGCCAATGATAACTTGTGTCTAATGTCACACAAACTCGAAGATCTACAGGTAAAAACTAACAAGTTGACAGAAGAGGCAGAGCAGCGAAGGAAGACGGGACTTTGAGTGAATGTAGAGAAGACACAGGTGATGATGATACCCAGCCAATACCACCAACAACAACAAGCTCCAATCACTGTCAATGCGAGAAACTTAAAGGAAGTAGCCCCTTTCACCCATCTAAGCAATGCAACATCGTTTCAACTACAGACGGGCACAGGCACAGACAAGTACGTCAAAGCCAGCTAGGATTGGAAAGACAACAAGACAGGTGTTCATTAACCTGAAACCAGTGTGCAGGCATTCCGAACAAGCTACAGATATTCATCAACAACTGCCTCCTACTCTGGCTAGTTATTGAAGCTCAGATGGTCAGAATGATTAGAATAGGCAAGGAGGAACTCTGGCTGTCTGGCAACGAGCCAACGAAGCAAGAATCTATCGCTGAACAAATATGCAGTGGAAGGGAGTGGAGATGGATTGGGTATGCAGTGAGAAGGCCGACTGGGGATATCACACGTCAAGCCAGGCCCTCGAGTTGTACCTAGATGGGAAGCGACGAGTTGGTCATCGGAGGTGAGGGTGACATGGAGGAGATGATGTGAGGGAGAAATGAGAACTTGTGGTCAGTGGTGGAGCCAGGTTGAAAAGGTTGTGGAGGACAGAGCGCGCTGGGTACATGTTACTGAAGCCCTATGTTCCACTAGGAACCCGAGGAACAAATAATAATAATAATGATAAAGTGAATGGTGAATAGAAACAATTGAAACTGATACTGTAAAGTGATCTGTTTCTTATTTTTTCATAACTTTTTGGCACTTTTGATATTATGATAGAATTGAATATTCTCCCTTCTGTACTAGTTTAGAACAGCTGAAATAATGTAGATATTTTCTCTACTTATATCAATTTGATAATACACCTGGAAACTGATTTCTCTCATTAATAAAGATGTAAAACTTGGCCACTCTGGTAGAATTTAATTCCATATTAGATTTGTTTATTTAATTTTGAGGAATTTGTGGGGATTTGGAAATATTTCAAGTTGTTATTCATCGTAGACTGACTGACATCAGTTGGAAGAACAAAGGAGACCTGGGAGCACTGGACAGCCAGCTGTTTAGTCCGATTAGTATGGGACTCCTCCTCAGCAGTGCGCACCCACGACCCCACACTATCACGGATCGAACCGGTGACCTTCAGGTCCCGTGACCAGCACGTTACCATTGAGCTAGCCACTGGGTCACAATCCAGTCGTCCATATTTTCAACTTCTATTAGCTCACAATATATAACACACAGTGGTGATGCAGTATTATCTACTTGATGACGTTTCGTGCATAAATTATCACATAGCTTTCCTACACTTGACTTTTGTAGTTACGTCACCTCATATTTTTGCTTTTATCGATAGTAAAACTTTCCATATCTCTGGTATACACATTACATCATTTCTATTTCATGTATTGGGTATTGGTTGATTCGATGAATAAAGATTCAGTAATCAATCTCCCTCTCGATGTAACTACGTTGGACTTAAGTGCAGTGGCTTTATCCCACCTAGTGGTGTGTGGTTGTGTGTACATGTGGATGCATTACAATAGCTGACTGACTTTCTAGATTACTGATCCTTTTGGGGTCCGTTGTTCTATATTCAGCTAACTTCGTATGTTCTGCTATTCTTATTGACCCCGATCGGCTAGTTCGACCTATATGCACTTGACCTGATTCGCAGTGATTACATGGGATTTGATAGATTAGATTATTTTGCCTAATTAGTTCTATCGGATCCTTAAGTCAGTCGACAAGGCTTATCTCTGAGTGAGTTTTTAGGTTTAAATGCCACCATAACTAATTGCAGCTTTGTTGAGAATCCTACGTATAGTTTCTAATGTACATTCTTTATAGGGTAACACAATGGAGTCTGTGAACTCCTTCCCTAATCATGTTGTCGTTATTATTCGTACTCGTGTTACCGTTATCTTTTCGTTTCTTGTTCGTACGAATTTCTTGATAAACTGTGGCGGATAATTATTCACTATTAGCGCTTGTTTTACGTGTTTCAATTCCTTGTTGAGGTCTTTGCACTGACTAGTCAGTTTTCTAGCTCTATCGCTTAGACATTTGACTAAACCCGCCTTCACTGACTGACATGGAATATGATGGATTTGAGGTCTAGATATGTGTTGGAATGTGTCGGTTTTCTGTAGACGGTAGTATCCAAACCACCATCTGTGCTTCGTTTTATTCTGCAATCCAACATCAGTAATTCTCTTTGTTCATTTTATACCTCCTCGTAAGTGAATCGGATTACGCCTACTACTGAGTTTCTGTGTACAAGGAAGCTGTCGATATGTTCCGATTTCAACACGGTAGTAAATGCGTCATCCACATATAGCCATCATATTTTTGCTGCAGGACTAAACGTTTGTAAAGTCATGTTTTCCCAACTATCCATAAATGTATATCTGATACGATTGGGGATATTGGCAATCCCTATTGCTACTTCTTCTGTTTGTCTGTATATTTTGTCCTCAAAACTTGAAGATTGTGGAGGTCAAGCACAAGTCTACGCCTAATATGATCTCATCAACCGACATCGTATTTGTGTGAGTCAGTTCTGAGTCAATAT